CATATCATTTTCTTTCTTCTCATTAGCAAAAGTTAATGGGAAATAGAGAGTCTTTATACATATTTAAATCCCAACAAGTAGACAAGCCATACACATTAAAGGTTTGCCTCTACAATCATATTTTGTTTTACTTATTTATATTTAATACAGGGTCTACAGGGTCTCACTACACAGATCAGAGTCATAGTGATCCTTCTTATTTCAGCCTCCCAAGCAAACTGATTACAGGAACAAGCCCAGTCACAGTCACTGTCTCAGCATGTCGGGGGGTTGGGGCTGCATGGCAGCCAGGGACCTAATATTGATCCCTGTGTCTCCCTAAGCACGTGCTTTAGTCACTGAGCTCTCTGGATGGCCCTTACAATCTTCTTTTAATTTGACACTTTAAATACTAGCTTCTCTTGAAAAGATTTTAAAAAGTAGCAATGACATATACATTTCCTAAAAAAAAAACATATATTACCTAAAGTTGAATGATTATTGTCCATTTTACAAAGACAGGGTACTTTTATTTGTTACTCAGACAGCTTCATACTTATTTTAGATATTTATTCTCAGAAGCCATTTAGGTTTTAAATCTGTGCTCTAGAATGTACTACTGAGATCCAGGATGCTTGTCTTATTCTGCTGAACATGGAGTGAAACACACTGTTGTGGACTTTCTTTCCAGTTTGAAGTCTGCAGGGGTGCTTGTCCTGGAACAACTGTCCAAGGAAATGGATTTTGCTAGAATGGAATGATACCTGAGGTGACCACAGAATGTCCCCAACATATCCTAAAGCATGTGTTTTTCAACTTGATTAAATATCTTGCCTTTCTTGCTTAATCCACCAGCCTTTTTCTCCCCTCAATTCATTCTGCCTCAGATGAATTTATTGGTATTCATAGACAATAAAGTTATTGCATTTTAATGTTTTCTGGGCTCTGTTGAGGGTCAGATATTCACTGATAGGCATTCTAGCTGAATACTGGTAATAAGCACACAAGGAAGGCATTTCTACTTCCTTTCATTTCAATATTAATTAAGTTGTTAAATACGTAGGTAATATGATAGCATTATTGGCAATAATCAACTTCCCTGAACACTAATTTGAAAACATAACAAGTGAAAACTCAGCCAGACATATATTAATATCTGCAATTAGGGTCAATGTTGACAAAGAGATCTCTTGATGCTTCTCAAAAGTATTAGGTCCCCAGATTCAAAGAATGATGATATCAATGGATTATATTAGTAGAACTCCCAATATCCCTTCACCAAGCTCCCAGAGTGAGTTTCTGACACTGTTTTTGCCAGTCAATCTCTTTGCAGCACCAGTTAACTCACACCACTCTAAATGCAGAGACAGAGCAACAGCTTGGGCTCTTGAAAAGAAACTTGGAGAGCTTCCCAGTTTGTGTGCTGCATAAGCTGGAGCAAGATGGAGATAATTAATAAAGTGCCAGACTGGATAATTGTAGGAACTGTAAAAGATCCTAAAATGTTGTTACTGGAGGCACAGAGACACCTGTGAAAGTGTGAAGTTAATCTTTGCGAAGAACATCATATGAGCTGGCATAGGGACAACAGTGGTGAAAATTTCTTTAAATAACTCAACCTTAGACAGTGATGTTCTCAAAGAAGAAGAAGAAAAAAAAACACATACGTTAGTGACCTGATGCAGGGTTTGTGGAAGAACTTCCTGGATTGTCATTATGTTTGCTTTTCTTAACCCTGAGAAAAGTGGCACTACTTTGATATTAATTCTTTCATAATAGTAGAACAGAAATGATGACATTGTCCTCTTTAATCTATTTTTAAAATAACACTATGCTTTCTGCTACCGTCCCCTTTCATCATTGCATTGAAGTGTAATACACTTCATATACTGTAATGCTAGGAGAGATGACCTTGCATCATCAACATTACCCTACATACGTCAGAAACTAAAGTCTGTCACATTTCAGGGTATAGTAAGCTAGTGAAAGAGATGGACAAATGTGGAGAAAGACAGAAACAAAGAGGACACCTGCCTTACGTGTTTCCCCTGAAGAGTTATGATGATTGAGGATAAGTCTAAAGTTCTTAGCAACTTGCAGATTAAATCCTAGAAGATTAATAAATAATAGCAGGTTATGTTATTTTTGTCATTACTATTATTGTTGAAATGAGACTTCTAAAGAATGAAATGCAAAGACATTTAGAATAATTATTGCTAGTGGTCACTTTGACTTCTTGTATAGTATGTGGTGCATGTAGGATGCATAAATCAATATATGTCAGCAAAACTTCCAAATCTCTGCACTGCCATTTGATGGCCTGTCTCTCTACCTACTCTGTTCTCTTTGCCTATCTGGCTCAGGGGCTAAGACAGTCTGTCATTGTGGTTCTCTGCCAATAGCTCATAAAATTACAGGATGTTCTTGTGTTGCACAGGGCTTCTGCCCTTGAGTCCAAAAGATCAGATAAAATTCCAAAGAGTGTTAATCATTCGAAAATGTCAAACCAAAAACAAACTTGTTTATTTGACATTGTTAGACAGAAGAGAAATGAGAGATTCCAGAATTTCCAACAAACCAACTCAACTGGCATGAAAATGAAGTTGGTTCCTCTGCCTTGATCTTTACACAAATAAACACGGCCAGAAGTCACCTTATGTTAGCTAAGAAACTGTATTTTTTCACACCCATAATCCCAGCATTGGACCATGGATAGAACAAGAAATCTAGAAGCTCACCCTGGTGACTGCATGAGGCTTTGGGAGGACATCTAGACACAAACCACAGCAGTCTCTAACATGATATACATGATATACATGAAAAGTAAGTTAAGAATGACTTAACGATTTACATTGTTCTTTCTGTCTGCTCTTTTTAAACCCATTTTTGTCTGCAGAAAGAAGCTCTTCTCAGTGCATCAGAAATATTAATTTGTTTTATAGAGGATGTGTGCCAATTAATATTTTTAAATTGTGATTATGTTCTTTGAAAATATCAATTTAATGTTTTACATACAAATGGAATTTAATTCTGACAGTTATTACTACACTACACAAATTAAGGGGCTCAATCCCCAAAATGCTCCCATTTTATATGCCTGAAGATACTTTCAGGTGCCAGGGTTAACTACAATTCATCCATCATGACTATAAGTTGGGTATTCTCCTTACTTTTAGGCTGATCATTTCTTTAGAATGACTCTTAAAGCTCAGTAGAGGAATATTGATGATTACTGAGTCATTATAAAAGACCAACTTTTTAAATAGTTATCCAGGAAAATGTCCAGAGTGATCCTGAGCAGGGAAGTTATTGTTTCTGTGGAGTTGAGTTACGTTAGTCTCCTAGTAAACTGATATGCTCACCAGTCAATCCTGAAACCTTGGTGTACAGTTTTGTAGGTTTTTTTTTTTTTTTAAACCAAAGTATCATTACTAGTCATGATTGATGTTTAAATCACTGACAGCAAGGATAAACTCACATCTCTCTCCTCTGTGGTCTTAGCTAGAGTTGAAAGTTCTGACACTGCACTTAATGTAGTTGATATGGCCTATAGAGCAGGCCTCATTTTGGGGCTATAAATTAGCCCTGCCCATTGCAAATAATTCTTGCATGTCTCATTGTCATAATATTATGCATTTTGAAAAAAAATGTTGTAAATAACAACAGATTTTCTTTAATCATTGTTGAAATTGGAAGGGATTTTAGGCCTCTGTGCAAGGAACATGGCAAAATAGTGTATATACATTTCATTATGCAACTCAAACTTCGTCAGTACTAATTGGTCTCAGTTCCTTATTCTGTTCATTATGTTTTAGGATGTTAAATGAAAGAACGAAAGAAAGAAAGAAAGAAAGAAAGAAAGAAAGAAAGAAAGAAAGAAAGAAAGAGACTTTAGCTTTTCTGTTTTTCCTAGAGAAAAACCTATGTATAAAGCTATTTGTGTATGTACCGTATTTCTTTGCAAGTACTGTGCAGTTACCTACCTTGTTTAAAATAAAATACTCATGCAATTTCTATATTGTGGGTTGTATTTTGTGTTCTTATGATGATGCACTAAGTTGATTTGCTTTTCTTCAACTTGGAGAGGAATTAGATAAACACCTCTGTTTTGCATATAATCATTTCTCTACCCTCACTATATCCATCTTTCGTTTTGTATTTTAAATTAGTTCTGTAACTAGGTCAGTTCAATTCTTTAATTATAGGTTCAAAATCAGTCAGGCACAGTGCAATAGTAGTTGTTCGCTGGTATTAAATGCAATAGTTCTTGTATTCATGCTTTAATCTATTTTATTCTATAAGTTTCCTTTTCTATATTTACTGTATCTTCTTAAACATAGTCAACTAAAAAGATCACAAAAGCACAGACAGAAAAATGTGACACACAGACTTTCAATTTGTCTTTTACTTTTGATTAATCCAATGTGTAAATATGAAAACATCTTGTTACTTAGAAGTTCTAGTGATCCTTTAACTTTTTCTTAAAGTTAGACATTTAATTAGAAAAAGTATTAATGCATATATA